CCCATTACTGGGTATATATCCAAAAGACTATAAATCGTTCTACTATAAGGACACATGTACACGAATGTTCATTGCAGCACTGTTTACAATAGCAAAGACCTGGAATCAACCCAAATGCCCACTGATAATAGACTGGATTGGAAAAATGTGGCACATATACACCATGGAATATTATGCAGCAATCAGAAATGATGAGTTTGTGTCGTTTGTAGGGACATGGATGAATCTGGAAAACATCATCCTCAGCAAACTGACACAAGAACAGAAAATGAAACACCGCATATTCTCACTCATAGGTGGGTGATGAAAAATGAGAACACATGGACACAGAAAGGGGAGTACTAAACACTGGGGTCTCTTGGGGGGAAAAGGGGAGGGCAAGTGGGAGGGGGAGGTGGGGAGGGATAGCCTGGGGAGAAATGCCAAATGTGGGTGAAGGGGAGAAGAAAAGCAAAGCACACTGCCATGTGTGTACCTACGCAACTGTCTTGCATGCTCTGCTCATGTACCCCAAAACCTATAATCCAATAAAAAATTAAAAAAAATAAAAAAAATAAAAAATTTCCTACTGTTGACCATACAGGTTACAATGGCTCTCCTTTTGATATATACAAATATATAATTTATTATATAATTTGTTATTATATATATTATGTGATTTCTCTCTCTGTACATGGTTGCCTTTCTCTTTGCAATAGATTTATCTTGAAGTTAAAATCCCTAAAGTGGAATTACTGAACTAAAATGTCTGAATTCTGACAGCTCTTGTTTTATACTATAATACTTTCCCCAAAGTTTCTGTCAATTCACATGCAGTTGCAGAACACAGCAAAAGGAAAGTTGAAACATCTGCAAAAATAGTTCCTGTTAAGTTAGAGGAAAGTGTACCTTTAATTGTTGTTTTTAATACTTTCTTCCAAGAAGGTAAGAAAGTATTGTGATATTTTGTTGTACTAGTCAAAGTTTGTTGGTGATGACAGAGGACAATTATATACTCCCAGAATAAGCACAATATGATTTTAGGCCACAATCTGGGTATGAAAATATCTATTTTCTTTTGCTTTTTCAGAAGCAGCAATATAGAGAATTACATTTCCACCTATAATGTATTTAAAATTTAGTAAGACTTAAATATCTGAAAGCCATTTAACAGCTTTGACTAACAACAATAACTGACTAAAATCCAAAGCTTATTTCACCATAATATAGTCAGTATAATCATGGTTGATGGCATCTTTGTCAATCTGCTTTTTTTTTTTTTTTTGCTTTTATTCCACATACTTTAGGATTGAGCCTTGTTCCCAGGTCTACACAAATGTCAGAAAACTCCATTCTTGTTTAAGCCAGCTATAAGCAACATAAAAAGTACCCCAGGCAGTTTATCTAGGAACCTCTATATTCTGATGATCTTGCTCTAGACATAAACACACTTGACAGAACCTGAATTGCAATGATGCTGAGCAACAATAGAAATGGCATTTTAACAGATCAGATGATAATTCAGTTATGCTTCTCTTTTGACTTTGTATTTTAGTGATATAAGATCATTTTTAGATGATTTGGAGGCATAGTCTCAGGCTACTGAAAATAGGAAAGTATTATTTTGCTTCTTGTTGATATGACTGCCATAATGAAAAGTGGCTCCACCTCTAAAATATGAATCAGACTTCAAAGTCTTTGAAGCATAAGAACTCTAGAACAATGGGTATAAAGCTATGATTTGACCCGTAAATTTCTGAGCATTGCCCATAAAATACACCTGATTGTATAGAGGCTAGGACAGCTTGATTTAAATGTCCAGGGATTGCATCTGTTTTAACGTCTAGTGATGGGACAGCTCATGAGTGTAAGATGTCTTCTGATGAAATTAGCATACGGTATCTGCTTCTACTGGCAAGGCTGTTCAGTTATCTACTTCAAGAAGTCGAAATTTGCCAGGCTCAAGAAAATATGTTGGTAGAATATAAGAATCAAAGGCCAAGCCTTCATAGTCTGAGTATTTGTAAGCTTCATTATCATTGGTGACCAATGGCTTTAAGGGTTAAGTAGGGTTTATTAATTTCATCTGTTATGTGGTACATATCTGTTCTGGATACATAGGGATGGGAGGGCAATTATAGTAAGAATAATGGCGGGTAGGATAGTTCAGATTACTTCGATTTCTTGAGTGTTTATAGTAGTGGTAGGGGTTAATTTTGTTGTAACTATGAGGGAAATAATGTATAGGACTAGGGAGCTAATTAGGAAAATAATTATGAGGGCATAATCATGAAAAGTAATTAGTTCTTCTATAATAGGGGATGCAGCGTTTTGTTAAGCCTACTTGGGCTGGGTGAGCCATTAAGATTTTGATGTTGTGTGCTCCATTACACTGACTAAAATCAAGTATGACAACTAGTTTACTGAGGGGTTCATATTCTAATTAATTCTCCCCCAGGGCATGTTGGGGTATATTACTGTGGTAATGTAGCTTAGGTGGGTGATTAGAAATTCTTTGAAAATTTAAAATTTGAAATATTTCCAGGTTCAGATATTCCTTTCTGGAGCTTTATAGCTTAACAGTTTATTTTTTTGCACTCTGGAGCAGATCCTGAAATGCTCTGTGAGGAAAGCTTTGGCTATTTCTGTAGCTTAGCAGTCCCGCACTCTGTGTGGAGAGATGCATGTCCATTTATCCAGGAAAGACAAGACATAGATTCTTTTGTCATAACAGGATGGATGTCAACCCTGCTCTCCACATGGCTTTAAAAAACATGTCTGATGCGTCCTTATTTTGCAATAACAGTAATAAAAATAGCAACAGCAGGTTCCTTTCACTGACAGCCTACTGTATGGGCAGGCAAAGTGCTAATAAGCACTCTGAATACTTTATATCTTACTTCTTACAACTCTATGTAGTGGATATTTATTATTACTGCTTCTGGATAACGAAACCAAATCTAATCTAAGACAAACAGACGACATTATATTTTAAGGTCTTTCAAAAGAATGTAACTCACACTGACAAATTCTTTAAAATATACATAAATCTTTAACTACAGGCAGTCAGAAGGCCAACCAATCAATCACTTGGTCTAGACTAGCATTTCCTGCGGTATGTTTGGTGACATACTTGAGCCTTCACTACTATGGCCCCAAAGAAAACTATAACTAGTTTAACTATACTGTGGTGTTATGCCTTTGGGTTACTCTCAAGGGAACTTTTTAAAAAGTATCTATATGAAACTCACACTGCTTGTTAGAATAATGCTAAGTTCATTTACTATGTCTCTTACAGTACCAAATCTGAGGCCCTAAAAGAGAAATGTTTCTTCAACAGTTGGGTCAGAAACACCATTTGTTCTAAGCCACAAGTAGGCTTTTAATCTAATGAACAATGGGAAATTTGAACAGAATTGTAACACTCCTTTATTTACTTTAGCTCAGACCAATACCTAAATATCCTCTTTGGTAACTATTAAGGTAATCGAGCCATGCATTTCTCGAAACTAATTTTAGCTCTGACCTCAGCTTACTATTCTTCTATTAACTTCCCCATACCCCAATTCAACTTCAGAGTAAACTCTCAAGAGTCAAAGTCCAATGTCAGTTTCCATTTTTCTGTTGAAGTGTGATTTCTATAGCCATAACAATATATATGATTTTTTTTTTTTTTGGTTTGCTGTCACTTGTATCAAAACATGAAAATCAGGTTATACTAGGCTCCTACTAAGCAGAAAATTTGCCCAAAAACGTGAGTCACAATCATTAACTAGTTTGGTATCTTACATTAAGAAAGCTACTTTAAACTGCTCAACACCTACCAATCCCAAATTGGTATGTCATTTTAACATACAGTGTAAAGACATTCTAGTAAAACTCTGGAAATCAGCTCAACAAGTAAATGTGTTAGTTCAGAGTTAGGATCTTTTTCATGTTTTGAACAATTAATGTAACCTGGGCCAGTATTAAATTTGTTAATGGCTCAAAGCAATTCTATCTTGATTCTAAATAGGTCATAGTTTAAAAAGAACCTTTTACATTACAAATTTTAATTTTAAAATTTTAAAGCAGATTCAGTATACTCAATCTGTAAAAATGAATAAAACACTAATACAACCAATAAAGTTCAAATGACTCAAGGTAGCGTGTGCTGATAAACTTGAAATAAGAAAAGAAACCTTTCTTTCCAGACTTTTCCTAGAGAAGGTAAGGACATGAACTAGAATGAAATGTTTTCAATCTTTATTAGCAACATTTTAAAAGATTAAGATTAGACAGACAGAATACCATATCAAACAATGGGACATGGTCAAATTGACCTTACTGTTTAATGATAAGAACTAGCAATGAAAGATTTTATCTTCTGCAGCATAAATGCCATTAGGCAAAAATGGATCTGATCCAACTCAGTTTCAGTTTAAGACTTTAAAGAAAATGGGGTCAGCTCCTGCCATTAGCTTTTTGGAGAAGGAAAAAAAAAAAGGTACCAAATTCTGAGTCCCTAATTGTGCTACCTATAATTTAAAAAGCATCCAGCCATTATGCTTTGGAAGAACATTACTTCACTCTTAAGGGTTGGATATTTTCAGAACATCTGCAAGGACACTGATTCTCACTAAATCAGGTCCCACCTGGCTTTGGGCCTAGCAGTACACCCTAGCTCTAACCCGTGAATGGTTTCTTTTTTCTTTTTTCTTTTTTTTTTGTATATAAGAGTCTTGTCACATTCTGATCTAAATCTTGGTTAAACATATTTGCATTGCAGTTTTAGCCTTCTCAAATGATTAAAAAGATTATACCAATTTATATTTTATAATTCTTGAAAATTTGCCTCTCCCGTATGCTACATAATTTATTTTCAAGGGGATAAAACAAAAGTAAATTATTTTCAATAACAATATATTTATATGTTTTCTGCTATAAACATCTCATTTGATTTGACTTCCTATTGAAATTATAAGAAAATCATAACTTAAAAGTTTTTTTTATTTATTTTTATTTTTTAGATGTGGACTCACTATGTTGTCCAGGCTGGTCTTCAACTCCTGGCCTCAAATGATCCTCCTGCTAAGATGACAGAATTTAACATCATCAGAAGATATTTATATCTTATATATAAGGTACCTGCCAAGTTCTTTTGTTTTATGCTTTTTGGAAATAAAGCAAAAAATTTTATTCACGTTTACTCATTTGGCTGTGCAGTTTTGATTTGTAAAAGGTATTAAATGTTCATACTCATCAAATGAAATGAAAGGTGATAATGTCTTTTTGAAAAACAGTATGTTTTTACAGGAGATTTAGAGTGTTCTTACCTGAGGCTGCTGTGGCATTTGTGGGGGTTGAAGCAGCTGCTTGAATCCGAGCATGAGGAGGAATAAGGATGGTAGCCAGAGGTGGATTACTTGACAGTTCTATAGAAGGTTAAGATACAAATGTTAGAGTCCACTCTTAACTTTATATGCAAAACTATTTCATTGGTAACAGTAAAAATAAGATTCTGCATTAAACTACCAGTTTAGGCCAGGCATGGTGGCTCACGCCTCTAATCCCAGCACTTTGGGAGGCTGAGGCAGGCGAATCACCTGTGGTCAGGAATTTGAGACCGGCCTGGCCAACATGGAGAAACCCTATCTCTACTAAAAATATAAAAATTAGGGGATTAATGCAATAAGAAGCCGCCCAATACAGGAGCACACAGATTAATGAAGCAACAAGTTTTTAGAGACCTACAAAGAGACTTATACTCCCACACAATAATAGTGAGAGACTTTAACACCTCACTGTCAATATTAGATCAACAAGACAGAAAATTAACAAGGATATCCAGGACTGGAATTCCGCTCTGGACCAAATGGACCTAATAGACATCTACAAAACTCTCCACCCTAAATCCACAGAATATACATTCTCCTCAACATCACACAGCACTTATTCTAAAATTGACCACATAATTTAAAGTAAAACACTCCTCAGCAAATGCAAAAGAATGGAAATCATAACAGTCTCTCAGACCACAGTGCAATCAAATTAGAACTCAGGATTAAAAAACTCACTCTAAACTGCACAACTACATGGAAAACTGAACAACCTGCTCCTGAATGACTACTGGGTAAATAACAAAATTAAGGCAGAAATTAATAAGTTCTTTGAAACCAATGATAACAAAGACACAATGTACCAGAATCTCTGGGACACAGCTAAAGCAGTGATTAGAGGGAGATTTATAGCACTAAATGCCCAGAGGAGAAAGCAGGAAATACCTAAAATCGACACCCTAAAATCACAATTAAAAGAACTAGAGAAGCAAGAGCAAACAAATTCAAAAGCTGGCAGAAGACAAGAAATTACTAAGATCAGAGCAGAACTGAAGGAGATAGAGATGTGAAAAACCCTTAAAAAAAAAAAAAAAGATCAATAAATACAGGAACTCTTTTTTGTTTTTTTAAGATTAACAAAATAGACCACTAGGCCAGACTAATAAAGAAGAAAAGAGAGAAGAATCAAATAGACACAATAAATACGATAAAGAGAGGATCACCACTCATCCCACAGAAATGCAAAATACCATCAGAGAATATTATGAACACCTCTATGCAAATAAACTAGAAAATCTAGAAGAAATGGATAAATTCCTGAATACATACACCCTCCCAAGACTAAACCAGGAAGATGTCAAATCCCTGAATAGACCAGTAACAAGTTCTGAAATTAAGGCAGTAATTAATAGCCTACCAACCAAAAAAAGCCCAGGACCAGACGTACCATTACTTCTGAAACTATTCCAAACAAAAGAAAAAGAGGGGCTCCTCCCTAACTCATTTTATGATGCCAGCATCATCCTGATACCAAGACCTGGCAGAGACACAACATAAAAAGAAAATTTCTGACCAATTTCCATGATGAACATCAATGTGAAAATCCTCAATAAAATTCTGGTAAACAGAATCCAGCAGCATATTAAAAAGCATATCCACTGCAATCTAGTCGGCTTCATCCCTGGGTTGCAAGGCTGGTTCAAGATACGTAAACCAATAAATGTAATCCATCACATAAACAAAACCAATGACAAAAACCACATGATTATCTCAACAGATGCAGAAAAAAAGCTCTGATAAAATTCAACACCCCTTCATACTAAAAACACTCAATAAACTAGGTACCAATGGCACATATCTCAAAATAAGAAGAGCTACTGATGATAAACCCACAGCCAATATCATACTCAATGGGCAAACGCTGGAAGCATTCCCTTTGAAAACTGACAGAAGATAAGGATGACCTCTCTAGCCACTCCTATTCAACATAGTATTGGAATTTCTGGCCAGGCCAATCAGGCAAGAGAAAGAAATAAAGGTATTCAAATGTAAAGAGAAGAAGTCAAATTATCTCTCTTTGCAGATGACATGATTGTATATTTAGAAAACCCCATCATCTCAGCTCAAAACCTCCTTAAGCTGATAAACAACTACAGTAAAATCTCAGGATACAAAATCAATGTGCAAAAATCACAAGCATTCCTATACACTCAAAACAGACAAACAGCTGAATCATGAGCAAACTCCCACTCACAATTGCTAAAAAGAGAATAAAATACCTAGGAATACAACTTACGAGAGATGTGAAGGACCTCTTCGAGGAGAACTACATACCACTGCTAAAAGAAATAAGAGAGGACACAAACAAATGGAAAAACATTCCATGCTCATGGATAGAAAGAATCAATATCATGAAAATGGCCATACTGCTGAAAGTCACTTATAGATTCAATGCTATTCCTCTCAAGCTACCATTGACTTTCTTCACAGAATTAGAAAAAACTACTTTAAATTTCATATGGAACGAAAAGAGAGCCTGTATAGCCAAGACAATCCTAAACAAAAAGAACAAAGGTGGAGGCATCATGCTGACTTCAAACTATAATAAAAGGCTACAGTAACCAAAACAGCATGATATTGGTACCAAAACAGATATATAGACCAATGGAACAGAAGAGAAGCCTCAGAAATAATACCATGAATCTACAACCATCTGATCTTTGACAAACCTGACAAAAACAAGCAATGAGAAAAGGATTCCCCATTTAATAAATGGTGTTGGGAAACCTGGCTACCCATATGCAGAAGACTAAAACTGGCCCCCTTCCTTACACCTTATACAAAAATTAACTCAGGATGGATTAAAGATTTAAACGTAAGACCTGAAACCATAAAAACCCTAGAAGAAAACCTAGGCAATACCATTCAGGACACAGGCATGGGCCAAGAATTCATGACTAAACACCAAAAGCAATAAACAAAAGACAAATAGACAAATGGGATCTAATTAAACTAAAGAGCCTTTGCACAGCAAAAAAAAACTATGATCAGAGTAAACAGGCAACCTACAGAATTGGAGAAAGTTTCTGTCATCTGTCCATCTAACAAAGGGATAATATCCAGAATCTACAAGGAACTTAAACAACTTTACAAGAAAAAAACAACCTATCAAAGGATATGAACAGATGCTTTTTAAAAGGAGACATTTATGCAGCCAAGAAACGTATGAAAAAAAGCTCATCATCACTGGTCATTAGAGAAATGCAAATCAAAACCATGAGATACCATCTCACACCAGTTAGAATGGCAATCATTAAAAAGTCAGGAGACAGCAGATGCTGGAGAGGATGTGGAGAAATAGGAACGTTTTTACACTGTTGGTAGGAGTGTAAATTAGTTCAACCATTGTGGAAGACAGTGTGGCAATTCCTCAAGGATCTAGAACCAGAAATATCATTTGACCCAGCAATCCCATTACTGGGTATATGCCCAAAGGATTATAAATCATTCTATTATAAAGACACAGGCACACATATGTTTACTGAAGCACTGTTTACAATAGCAAAGACTTGGAACCAACCCAAATGCCCATCAATGGTAGACTGGATAAAGAAAATGTGGCACATATACAACATGGAATACTATGCAGTCATAAAAAAGAATGAGTTCATGTCCTTTGCAGGGACAAGGATAAAGCTGGAAACCATCATTCTCAGCAAATTAACACAGGAACAGAAAACCAAATGGTGCATATTCTCACTCACAAGTGGGAGTTGAACAATGAGAACATACGGGCACAGGGAGAGTACTCTCTCACACCAGGACCTGTCAGAGGTCAGGCGGCTAGGGGAGGGATAGCATCAGGAGAAATACCTAATATAGATCATGGGTTGATGGGTGCAGCAAACCACCATGGCACATGAATACCTACGTAACAAACCTGCACATTCTGCATATGTATCCCAGAACTTAAAGTATAATAATAATTTTAAAAAGAGGAATTCAGTTTTTAAAAAAAAAAAAACAAAAAATAGCCAGGTGCGGTGGCACACACCTGTGATCCCAGCTACTTGGGAGGCCAAAGCAGGAGGATTGCCTGGACCCAGGAGGTAGAGGTTGCAGGGAGCCAAGACCATGCCATTGCACTCCAGCCTGGGCATCAAAAGCGAAACTCCATCACCAAACAAAACAAAACAAAACAAAACAAAAACAAACTACCAGTTTAACAGGGAAAAAAAACATACATGACAAACCTATATCTCAAACTAGCTAAATGAGTTAGTAATCAACTTATAGAAAAAGCCCACAAAATTACTGTGATATATAACAAAGGCATTATCTGCTAAAATTATGTCTGAGAACTAAAGGCATCTTGGGGAAAGGTGGTGGCCAAAGTTTTGGAGTAGGTATATTAATAACACATATTTGTACCTTTCATTGATTTAAATATATTAGGTTTTCCTGTCCCACTATGGCAATATTAGACTACAGGAAATACTGTACAAACATATTTTTTATGTTTTTAAATGGTGGTGGTGTCATAGCAAAGAAAATATGAATGAGAATGTGTGTCTATACATGTATGTACAACTGGATCTACTGATCAACCTACCCAACTATTTATGAGCCAATGGCAGATAAGACTTATCTAGACACAAATGGAAAAAGGATTTGAAAAACATCTGTTTAATGTATCACTGCTTTTATTAAAACTGAAAATGTCTTTATCCAGTTCTTTTCTTTACTCAGATTATTTTTGTTACTTTTCACAAGTTTGAAATAGGCTTTTTATCTGCATGGGGGAAGCTGTCTCTGTCAACTGTACTTATTTCTTTGAAGAATCAAGATCTGTAGCAAGTAGTGGTAGTGAGCCTGCACATAAAAGCATCTGTTGTTAGTTTTAGGTAATGTGACTGTTCTCCCAGTTACATGAATAACCCTGCTTTATGCTTGTTACTCAAGTATTTAGCCTGTAAGTACTAATTGTCACTCTAATATGTATCACAGTTTGAAGGAACAATCATAACCATAACTAGCTACAGGAGGAGATTATCCTCTGAGCTACAGCACAACTTTGGCAATTCACAGATATGGTA